GATGTTTGCATTGGTTTAATAAATATACTACGGTATATGATTTTCTAATGGGCATTTTAAATTTTCTTTCATATGGCCAATACAGTTCTCTTTTAGTTTTGATCTTGGTTAGGACTGCATTCTGGTGGCCACCTAGCATATTTTTAGAACGTTCAGAGCATCAAAAAAAATTGGGTAAAAGTGAAAAAGTGTGTGACACACCTGGACAGGCCCAAATCTTAATGAAACTATAACTTTTTGCTGGGACTAATGGACAGACAACTAGAAAATACATTTTTTTTTGCAGATGGTAACTGCAGCAAATTTATTATACACACAAAGATTGAAAAACTCTGAAGTACCCATAACAGAGGAATGGTTGATAAAAATGAGAGCATTTATAGAAATGGCAAAATTGACTTGTTTAATTAGGAAAAAGACAAAAAAAACCCACTATTTTTAGTGACCAGAAACTCGTTGTGGACTCATTGTGAAAACAGAAAAAGTAAACTAGTGATTTATGGGTTTGAGAATAACGAAGAGTAAAACATAGAAAGAAAGGTGCCAAGATACAATCTTAGAGAGAAGATAAAATACAAATGCATATATCATTGCTGTAAAAAAGATCAGAAGCTGCTCCTTTATACCTCTTTTTAGACTTTTCTGTATTTTTCTTAGTTACCTGTTACTTTTCTTTTTCTTTAAATGTGTGCTGTTTTTGTAAAACATTCAACAAAAATTAATTTTTAAAAAAGTAAAGCCAAAATATGTCTTTCATTTTGAGTGTGTTTCTTGCCACAAAATACTAGGGGATCAGCCAGCCAATGTTTTTAATCTCTGCCCTATCCTAATAAGATTTGGCCCTGCAGGATCTCAGACCAGAAGATTTCATATCCTCTGCTAACTCATCATACAAACCAGGCATTAAATCTGAGATCTTTTAAATGCAAAACATGACCTGTACTACTGAATTATGTATGGCCTTTTTTCACAGCTTCATGGGTGTATGAGCTAAATACCTATTCCATTGCAGTAACCAATTTCTTTCCCACCTTGTTCTTCATCTTCACCAGGTTATAACATCTCTCCAATTGGAACCTTATATATTCTACACCCTGTGCCCCACCCAGTTTCTGTTCAGAGAACAATGCACAGTAACTCTCAAGCAGTGGCCTGAATAACACTGAGGCCTCCTTGCCCCTTTGAAAAGCCAGATGACCTAATAATCACTACCCAGTTTTTCTGTTTCTCTTTTTAGCAACACAATAAGACCCAAGCCCCCTCTGGCAGAAGGCGTTTTCTGGAAACTATGCACATCAGATTTCCTCCTTCTCTTCGCTTCATCAAACTTAGGAATAAACATGTTTTGGAACGTTTTAATTGAATTGCTTGGTCTGTATGTTTGATGCTTGGAGTGTTTTCAGTCTTAGAACATTTGCTTTTTATTTTCTAACCCTCTTTCTTTGACTTTCTCTCTCTCTTTTCTCAATCTTCTGGGCATCATTGCAAGCCTATAGAGCACTCCCCCTTTCCACATCAAGAACCAATTGGTTTCGCAATCAAATCTTATTTGAGGTTGGCAACGGGACAGCATCTTCCATGGCACCTAAAAGCAGCCAGCTGGTTTACCAAGTCGGGGGCAACGATTGCAGCACACACAGCTGTGCCTTCAAACCATTACCACCACTCCTTGCCCTTCGGCATCTACTTCAGGCAGCCGACTATCCTTCTAACTGCAGGACCATCCCTAACCGGACACACATTTTATTGACTCTGCTATACAGAAGCCCTGCCAGAAGTAAGAATATACTCATTATTGGGGTGGGGGGCTACTTTCCAATTTACCCCCTTTGAGTCTTCTCTTTCATTTCCATTGCCCCTCCAAATAAGGCATATTTTATTTTCTTCTACTTATAAAGAAGATTACCTGCTCCACAAATAAGAATTACAGGTACTTTTGGCACTTTCATATGGAAGGAAGGAAGGAAGGAAGGAAGGAAGGAAGGAAGGAAGGAAGGAAGGAAGGAGAGAAGGAAAGGAGGGGAGGAGGGATGGAGAAAAGGAAGGAAGGAGGGAGGGAGAAAGAAGGAAGCAGAGCAGGAGGAAGGGAGGAAGGGTGGGAGGGAGAAAAGGAAGGAAGAAAGAGAAGGAAGGAAGGAGGGAGGGAAAGAAGGAGGGAGGGAAAGAAGGAAGGAAGAGGAGAGAGAAGGAAGGAGAGACGGAAGGATGGAGGAAGAAGGGAAGAGGAGAGAGGGAAGGAAGGAAAGGAGGAAAAAAGGAGAAGGAAGGAGGGAGGGAGAGAAGGAAGGGGAAGGAAGGAGAGAAGGAAGGAGAGAAGAGGGAAGGAAGGAGAGAGGGAGGGAAGGAAGGAGGGAGGGAGGGAAGGAAGAAAGTCTTCTGCTGACTAAAAGAAAACCAAACAGCATGACAGTGATTCTGGAGTCTTGTGACTCCACATACCAGTTATGGAAGAGCTCTTCCCCCATTTCCCCCCCCCCCAACCCCATTCACATTTACAAACAGGCAGAAGGAGACCTTCAAAGATTATGCTCAGCACTGAAAGAAGCATACTCCTCTGTTGGGAATTGCCTGAGGAAACAGGTAGAAGAGATGCAGAGTCATTTTAAAAAACTGGGTTGCTAGGGCTGAGAAACCACACCCTCCTTTCCTCGCTTATATGCCTGAGGCTCTCCACCTCTCTTGCCATCCACTTTTCATGTACTGTGGTTTAAACACAGGGTTTACTATGCTCATAACACTTTTCCCTTTCCCTAACTTCAGACAAGTTGTGCTTGGACACTCTGTAGGCCATGAGAGCTTAAGGCCAAGCAAATCAGGTAAAGCATAGTCAGTTTAAACCTGGAGTAGTTTTGCACATAAGCATGCTTGACAAACCCAGAACATTTCTGCTTTGATGTGTTTTATGAATGGCACATTAAAAGCATTGTATCGACACAAGCCTTACAGCAAATGTGGTAGATGTCTGCTGTATTTGAGGGCAAACTCACACTGTATTCAGGGCAAACTCATGATCTTGAGGACATGACTTGTCCTCTCTGAGTGCCTCATTGCCCATCTCTTTTTCTGTAGAGCCATGCATAATCCTTGCCCAGCTATGCTTTCAATTAAACACAACTCCCTAGATTCCATTACAGGTATCACTTGTTCCCCATGTCCATGCCATGAAACCTTTCCACCTTCTCTCTCCCTGCTGTCAAACATTAGAAGGTTCTTTGGGGTATAATTCCGAATTATTTTTCCACTAAACCTGCAAAGTGTTTGGGGGTGTATTAATCTCTCAACATGATGTATAAATCACATCTGTAAATCATGGTTACTAGAAGGCTTTCACTCAAAGGACTTTCCCTTGAGCAAATGATTAAAGGATAAATGAGAACCTTCTTTATGCCCTCTTTGCATGCTCAGTGGTTCTCTTTGCAGCTGCATGGTTTTCCTGCTGAAGAAGACCACCTCAAATGAGTCTTCTGCTGCAAAGTCAAAAGGGCTTGGTGCCTTTTCTAACCCATCTTTCAGAGCTATAGTATCAAATTACATATCCATAGAATCAAAGCTGTTATTTCTTGGGCGGAAATATTTATTGCCAAGAATAAATATCTAGGGAGAGAGAAAGTTAGCCATTAAAAAATAATTGTGAAGGACAAGTGTTAAATCCCTTTCAAGGAGCTCATTTTCAATATAAAAATGTGTCCCCGCAGGTTATATTAGCACTTTAAAAAGAACGAACATCCTTCAACGAATCTTTGTCTTTCAGCCTAATTTCCTTCCCAGAAGGGATGTGAAACTAAGATGACCCTCTTCTCCCCACTCACGCTTTCTGGGAGGAAAAGTCAGTGAGAATTTGGTAGCCTTCTGAAGTTTTGCTGCTGAATTACTTTGTGTTGATCTGGATACCCGCCCCTTCATCCACCCACCCCTTCATCCACCCGCACCCCGTTCTTCTGCAATAGGATATGCTAAAGTGCTAAAATGCTTACTCTGCACGGAGAGTAAGCAACCAATCATTTCTGAAGCCATGTGAAAATTTTCCTCCTCCTGAAAATATTCCTCCTTTATTATCCCCCATCTCTTTACTCTTCTGAGAATTCGGAAGAAGGAAAGTGAAATCCTTGCCCAAATCAGCTCTTTCGCTTCCAGCCGGCGCGCTTCCACCCCCCTTCCGCTGAGCCTCCACAAAGAAAGGAGCTGGATGGGAAGAAGAGTCCTTCCCCGAGAACCCACTCGCAGAAGCGCCACACCCGCTTTCCGGACCGGAGAAGCCTTTTGCCACATCCCGTCCCGCACTCAAGACTCTAATCGCCGTCCCCAGATTCCTTTCTTCACGCCTTCCTCCGCGGGATGGATTTCTGTTCTGGGGGAATCCCAACCATCAGAAGTAAGGCGTGGTAGGCGGAGAGGGCGAGAACGAGGGTTCCGGTGCTGTCCCTTATATAGCTCTAAGAATTTCCCACTAGGTCTACAGTCTGCAGAGTTTGTATTTGTTATTCAGTATTACACCACCATCATTGCCCTGTCACCATCATTATATCGGAGTGGAGCACATCAAAAGTTCACTCCAACCAGCCCTTCTCCCCTTGCCAGGCTGATGCCTCGACCGATACCTACTGCTCTCGCGAAGGTTCACACGTGACGTACGCGAGCGCATCCCAACCTTCCCACGCTGGAGCGGCGAAGCTCGCGGGGTTCACTTGCCACCCTGTGGACAGCCGTGACCGCCGCGGCCCTCCTTTTCTGCGCCCTAAATACCCTCTTCCATCCCAAATCATCTTAGACAACCCCCTGATACTCACCGGTCCAAGTTTTCCTCGCCCACCCACTCCGGATAAAAGAAAAAAGCCGCGAACTTGCCCCCATCCCAATTTTGCCCTCTGGGATGGAGCGACGCCTGACGCGGAAGAGTGGGGACGCGTGGTTCTCCACTCTCCCACCCGTTCCCTCATGCCTCCCAGCGTGTCTCGCTCCGTCGGTCCCCGGCCGGTTCCTTACTGACACCATCCACTCACCCCGGAAAGCAGCAGCAAGCCCCATAGCAAGATCGCCGTCTTCTGCATGGCCGTCTGAGGTACAACAGGGTGCTGGAAAGGAAGATGCCGGTCGGGAGATGAGGGGAGGCAGGAGGCTTCTTAAGCATTCCCTCCCCAAGAGGCGTCTCGGGATGGGCGCGGGAGGGAGAGGAGAAGAGCGTCGGTGGCGACGGAGGCAGCGCTAGTAACTGAGGGAGTTGGACAGCACCTGCTTTCTGTAACTGGTAAGCTCGGCCCCCTTTTTTTAAATTAGTATTAAAGCGATCGATGTTCTCCTCCCACTGGTTGGTGGTTTAAGAAGCGCACAAATAACCAAGACATGACAACCCCTCCTTCTTTCAGGGCCCCAGGAAGAGCATATCAAAGAAAATCACTTGGTCCATTACATCTTTCTCACCCATAAAACTTTTTTAAAAAAAAATTCTCCTGAGAGTTGAGAAAAGATGTTGAGGAAAGGTACTAAAATCCTCAGAGGTGAAGAAATTATTTTAAATAACTTCCAGGGACTCCACCAGTGAATGAAAACACAGAGGTGGGGTCCAAGGGCAACTTTTGGGTTCTTTCTTTCTTTCTTTCTTTCTTTCTTTCTTTCTTTCTTTCTTTCTTTCTTCCTTCCTTCCTTCCTTCCTTCCTTCCTTCTTTTCCTTTCTTCCCCTGCAAAATCTATTTAAACATAAAATTTGGCCATGGATTTTGGGAATGGTGCTCTCTCTTTGGAAGCACCCAATGCCAGCATGCAATCTTGCATTTCTTTTATCTTTTTTCTAATCAGATTCCACTGGGCTGAAGAGAGAAATACAAGCAGAGAGGGATTAGAATAAATCTAACCCAGAAGAAGGTAAGCTGGCCAACTAACCACGAATCAATGTAGAGGGGGATGTGTACCCCTCAGAAGTCATCCAGATGGCCACAAATTATACAGAGCCATTATTTTTAATGTTATGCCCCAGCCTTGCAAAACTCTTGGCCTCCAGATGGATTGGCCATGCTAGCTGAAATCTATCTGGAGTAGTCACGTTGGGCTAGGCTGATATCTGGCTAGATATTTTGACAAGAAACAAAATGAGATTGACACTTCACGGCAAAACGGAATACAATCAAATCTGATGTTTAAGACACACTTCACTTTTTGTACAACCTATAAAAATTTCCATTTTTTTCAACATATGGGTTGAACACATGTGCTCATTGAATTGATTATCAGACGATATATATCTTCATATATACACTTCATATATACACTTACGAGTGTGCGCATATGCACGTATACACTGACAAAATATGCACCCTACATCATATCAAAGAAAATAATAAAGGTAATCATGACAAGATATAAGCAAGGAAAGCCCTGCTTATGTGCTGCAGCTAAACTAAAACTGCTAGTAAGTGGAATTCATTTATAATTTAAATCATGCATATGGGGAATCAAAGTGGACTTTCTTCCTGGAAAATCTCTTGGAATCTATGGCTTGTTGTCACAGATCTATAAATTTGAATATTTATACTATTTCATAGGGAGAGCAGCTTTACTTTAAGTCTGTCTTCCTTCCTTCCTTCCTTCCTTCCTTCCTTCCTTCCTTCCTTCCTCCCTCCCTCCCTCCCTCCCTGCCCCCTTTCTCCCAACATATTGCAATGCATTTCACTTCCCTCATCTCAGACAACTGCTTTCCACATCCTCTATTAGATCAATTGTAACAGAAACAAGGATCCAATTGTCTGACTCAACAAAATTGGCTATCTTTGTGCGCAGACTCAGACCTTCCTGTATCTGGCCGGCCTTGCTTTTTGTTTCATGCCATTGCCCTCTCATCCCCAACTTGCCTGACTTAAGAGTAACTAAATTGCTTACTTGGTTAAGAACCAGCATTTCAGAATGCCACAACTCTTTCTCTGCTCAATAAATCAGCTCTGGGTATAGTGCAGCAACAGCATGAGTTAGTTTGAACAAACCCCTCTAGTTGCTCATCAGACATTTTACGGCTTCAATTGTGGCTTTAATAATGAATGCCATGTTAAAGGTTTAGCCAGGATCCTTTCTGCTTCCTGGATAAGTGCTCTCTCTGAATCAGATATTCAGAATGGAGCCCAGACCTTTTTTTTTTTTTTTTTTAAAGAGGAGATGGATTGCTGAGCTTCTGACTTGTTCCAGGGGTGCACCTATCACTATTTGAAGAATGTAAATCTGCAGGGAGGAGTTTGAGATATATATATTTTTGGTACTTAGAGGGTGAATTATGGGGAGGTGGGGTTCCGGTGGCATCCATAGGTTCAGATGGCTCTAATTTGAGCACTAGATGCTCAAAACCCCTAATCCTTTCACTTTAAAAATGTGGTATGCTCAGTGCAAACATCTGGTGCCTCTGTTGAACTTAAGGACCACTCCAAGATGTTTTGTAAATTATAGCAATAGCAATAGCAATAGCAATAGCAGTAGACTTATATACCGCTTCATAGGCCTTTCAGGCCTCTCTAAGCGGTTTACAGAGAGTCAGCATATTGCCCCCAACAATCTGGGTCCTCATTTTACCCACCTCGGAAGGATGGAAGGCTGAGTCAACCCTGAGCCGGTGAGATTTGAACCGCTGACCTGCTGATCTAGCAGTAGCCTGCAGTGCTGCATTTAACCACTGCGCCACCTTATGTCCTCCTCATCTCCAAGTTCAGTCAAAATCATGTTATTTCTATAGTTGGGGTAGGATTGGGAATCTATCAAGTCTTTTCCTCTTTCTTGACAATAAAAATCCCTTGAAGATCACTTGCCCTCGAAATTGTTTTAGTGGGCCTAATGATAGAAGACAGCATTGGGAATTTTCTGCAGGATGTTCTAGAACAGGGCTGTCAAAGTCGCAGACCACAGGCCAGATGCGTCACACGCTGCCACGCCCTCACCCACGCCCAGTTTAGCAAAGGTGGAGGGAGTCCTGATACGTCATGTGACGCTGCAAGTTTGACACTCCTGGTCTAAAAGCAGGAGCCATCTTAGTTATAAACTCTTTTAGAAATAGTTCTTGAACTGACTCATATATTTATTTATTCATTACATTTTGCTCAACCTTTTCTTTTCCTCGAAAAATAGTTTATCCCTCTTTTATCCTTTACATCATCCTTGGCTGAAGATTAAATTGGGAGGTGCTGACTGTCCCATCCTATGAGTCTTATAATTGCACGATGGCTTAGTTGCTTGTTTAAAATATCTTCAATGCCTTATTACTGTCAGCCACATCAGAGAAAGACTTCACATGCTGAGGAGACCTCCTCTCTCCCTGCAGATTGGGCAGTACATCAGTGTGATTTTTGAAGAAGCAAATTTTATTTGTTTGTGTCTTGATGTGAGCATCTGGCCAGGATGAATAAAAAGATTTGAAATTGGCATTTGGGACTGGATTTTAGAGGGACATGAGCAACAAAAGAGCAAAAGGCTTGTTCAAAATTGAATCAGAAACATTATTCAAACTTGAGTACATCATAAGATATAATTGTGTTGTACTTCCTTTCCTAGAATCTTTTATTTGTAGTTGTCTTCACAGCACTGGGTTGTCCTTTCTTTGCCCTCTCTGGTTTTTCTTTGATAATCTTTCCTTTTAACTTTCTCCAGCTTGCCAATATCCTCCCCGTAATGAATGGTTCCAACCAACTGCAATAGTGTGAAAGGTAAGGACATGTTTTTTCAGATGCTGATCGTAAAATCACTTTTTATAACCTTCATTACCACTTAGGCTTTGTTGCCAGCAAAGCAATATAGTCTTTCAACCTTCACTTTGATAAAGAAGGGAAGAAAAAAGAAGGGAAAGGAAAAAAAAACTTTTTCCAGGAGTCAATACACAGGCTGAACATCCATATTTATATAGTTCTTCTTACCATAAATTCATTCATGAGATGATGGAATAGCCATGGGCAGTTTCAAGAGCCAAGAGCCAAGGTGGCG